ACACAGCGCGTGGCATATTTGCCGTGAGGGGACACCTGTTCCCCTGGCCTGGTAGGGAGTCAGGAGAAAAGACAGGGAGGAGACCTCACCACCCGCTGCCTACAGGCATGGCGGGGCCTCCAGGGGCCAGCAGGCCTGCTCGGAACGAGCCGCCAAGAGGGTCCCACAAACCTTCAGAACCTTAGAACTGAAGCAAGGGACTCACCTGTCCACTGGAGAATACGAACACCAGAGCCGCCCCAGCTGCCGTCATCCCCCAGGTGAAGAAGGTCCCCAGCAAGGCCTGGAACACGGGGTTGTGGCCCTGGAGCATGCTGAACTCAGCTGTGTGCAGAGGAGAGAGAGGGTCAGCCGCTGGCGTCCCTTTCAGAGATACCCACGTTTTCTCAAGCGTCCTGGGCCCCCTGGCTGAGCTGGCCTCCATCTGGGTTGGTGGGATCCACCCTTCTGCTGTGCCAACCCAGCACAGGGGTCAAACTTCTCCACCCTGGCCCCCCAGGCGTTGAAAATCCACTCACCCCAAAAAGAGACATGGGGACACCCAGAGAGACCAGGAGCCCCAGCAAGAGGTCGCAACACTGAGACGCCCCAAAGAGAAACATGAAGAACGTGGATCGTGCAGCCTGGAAGGGCCCCGGACGCTCTGACGCAGCCCCGTGACCAGCTCAGATCCCCTTTTAAACTCTTCCATGTAATTCCCAATCACACCGTTAATAGCTCCCAGCCGTAGCCCCGGGCCTGGCCCACGGGATTCCTGAGTCTCCACGCCCCCACGGGCTCCTCCAGCCCCGTGCCCATGACCTCAGGTGCGGTGCGGGGCTCGTGCTCAGCTGAATTCTTTATGGCACCTCCATGAGTCCCAGGTGGTGCTGCCTGCAGGTCTCTGTTCATGCAGCGCCCTCCCGGAGTGCCTGCCCTCCACGGGCCTCTCCAATCCCGGAGCCCAGGGCCTCCTCCGAGGGCCACCTGAAGCCAAGCTCGTGGAAGTCTCGCCCTGGCCCCCCACCGCCCTCCCACGCATCTTGGCTGCTCTCTCTGTGCGGGCCGGCCCACCTCGTTGGTGTCTTTCTCTGCTTGAAAAACAGGGGCGATGCTCTCCCACAGTTGGCACCCCTGTGAAACAGGACTTTGTGGCCCCTGAAAAATATTTGGAAAGGGCCCACTTACCTGGACAGG